GGTGACAGGGCTGAGATGGAGGACTGGGAGGAGGGTGAGGGAGGAAGATTCCAGTTTTGAGTTGGAGGGTTAAGAGGAAGGTGAGGGAGCTGGGTGACATATATGCAGGGGTAGAACAGTTGAAAGAAGCAAACAAAAATCTACAGCTTAATTATGTAAGGTCAATACTATCATAAGGTAGCAATTTAACAAAATCAATACAAACAGAAACTCTTGGATGAACAACAAGAAAACCAGTGACAAGGATACCCCTAGTCACACTGGGTCTTGAAGCAAAGGCAGGGAGTAGGTTACTTATCCTGCTTTATTGATTTGACTGTTGATTTTTTTTTTTTCTGCCCAGGACAAATGCCTCACAGGCCTTACCCCACCTTACCCGCCCTCCTGTTTTGTTTTGTTTTCCTGAGACAGGGTCTGACTATGGAGCCACCGTGCCAGGCCTCCCAAAACGTTAAATAACCTTTTCCCCTGGAACTAAAATGAATGAATTTGAAGTTCACTTTCCTTGTGGATCATGTTCACAATAGCTTCCCCTGGAGAAACAGCTGCCCATAAGCCTGTCTTGAATAACCACCCTCCCCCACCACCATCGAAAAGCAGCACTTGCCCTGGCTCCCAGCCATTACCCAAGGTCAGAGGAATGCAGCCCGCTGCAAGGATGTTCTGATAGGCCTCTCGAATTAGCAGGCAGCTGTCCTGGAGGTTGTAGAGATTGACGGTCACATTGCCTAGGTCTGCAACCCTGAGGGACTGAAAGGGGAGGGCTCCCGTGCTGGGATTGACGGCCCCCAGCATCAGTGATTCCTCCCGGATGCGACGGGGTCCAAATCTGCAGAAGAAGGATCGTCTATGTCAGCTGCCACACAACTCTGAAGGCTCTGTGTCCCTAAATGGTGCTTCTCTCTCAACTCTTGGTATTTGGGACAGGTGAATCTGCGCTGTGGGACTGCCTTTTTCAGACCGTAACCACTCGCAGTCAGGAGCACCGGGTCCCATAACCTGCAAAAGGCATATCTGGAAATTACCAGGTATCGCCATTGGGTCTAAAACATCCCCCTCTGAGAACCATTCATCTGCTCATTTTTGGGCCTTTAAAAAAAAAAACCTTGGAGATTTTTGTTTTTCATTGTTTGTTTGACAGGGCCTTGCTATGTTGCCCAAGCTGGCCCAAAACTCACTGTATAGCCCAAGATTGCTTCAAACTCTAAATCTGCCTCAGCCTACAGAGTGCTGGAATTACCAAGCATGCAAGACCACAGCAGGCTGACAGTGTTTCTGATCATGTTGAGTTTATTACTTTCCCATCTACTACAGTATATGTGATGATTTGTATAGGCTCCGCCCATTAGAGGGTGTAGCCCTATGGAGTGGGTGTGGCCTTGATGGAGTGGGTGTGGCTTGTTAGAGTGGGTGTGGCCCTGTTGGAGTAGATGTGGCCTTGTTGGAGTAAGTGTGTCACTGTGAGTGTGGGCTTTAAGACCCTCATGCTAGCTGCCTGGAAGTCAGTCTTCTCCTAGCTGCTTTCAGATGAAGATGTAGAACTCTCAGCTCCTCCTGCACCATGCCTGCCTGGATGCTGCCATGTTCTTGCTTTGATGATAATGGAGTGAACCTCTGAACCTGTAAGCCAGCCTCAGTTAAATGTTGTCCTCAGTCATGGTGTCTGTTTGCAGCAGTGAAACCCTAACTGAGACAGTATCTGAGGCTGATTTTTTTTCTTTTAACACACAGCTGGTTCCGTCAGTAAAGGACTCGCCGTGTAAGTGGAAGGGTCCAGTTTTGATCCCTAGGACCCATATATAACTGCTATGTGGGGTGGCATCCATTTGGAATCCCAGCACTGGGGAATCAGGACTGGTTAGTAAAGAATCCGTGGCCATCAGTCTAGCCTGCTCTGTGAATTCAAGGCCAAGAAGAGACCCCATCTCAAACACAGCAGTGATACAGAAGATGACCCAGTGGGCTGCCACCACAGCCTCTCCCCATGTATGTGTATATGAGCACACACACATATGAATTAAACATTTCTTTTGTCTTTTTTTTTCCAGAACTGAGGACCAAACCCAGGGCCTTGCGCTTGCTAGGCAAGTGCTCTACCACTGAGCTAAATCCCCAACACCAACATTTCTTTTTTCAAGACAGGGTTTTTCTGTGTAACTGAGCCCTGGCTGTCCTGGAACACTGGCCTTGAACTCACAGAGATCTACCTATCCGCCTGCCTCTGCCTCCCAAGTTCTGGGATTAAAGCCATGCACCACCATCCCTGCCTTCAATGAAAAAAAAAATTTTTTTTTTAAGGGACTAGAGAGAAGGCTCCTCAGTTAGGAGTACTGGCTGCTCTTGCAGAAGATCTGAGTTTGGTTTCTAGCATCCAACCGCCAGCACACGACCGATCCAACACGGTCCTCCTCTGACTACTACATATCAGGCAGAGATGTGGCATACAACCATACATGCAGACAAAAACGTGTATACACATAAAATAAAAATAAATATTTTTAAAAAGATTTAGGAGCTGGAGAGATAGCTCAGTGGTTAAGAGCACTGACTTTTCTTCCAGAGGTCCTGAGTTCAATTCCCAGCAAGCACATGGTGGCTCACAGCCATCTGTAATGGGAGCTGAGGTCTTCTTCTGGTGTGTCTGAAGATAGTTACGGTGTACTCATATACATAAAATAAATAAATAAATCTTTAAAAAATAAAATAAATTTAGCCTGCCTTCAATCCCAGGACTTGGGAAGCAGAGGCAGGAATGGATCTCTGTGAGTTCAAGGCCAGCCTGGTCTATATAACAAGTTCCAGGCCAGGCTGTGGTAGCGCACGCCTTTAATCCCAACACTTGGGAGGCAGAGGCAGGCAGGTTTCTGAGTTTGAGAGTTCGAGGCTAGCCTGGTCTACAGAGTGAGTTCCAGGACAGCCAAGGCTACACAGAGAAACCCTGTCTCGAAAAACCAAAAGAAAAAAAAAAAAAAAAAAAACAAGTTCCAGGGCAGCCAGGGCTGTTACCCAAAGGAACCCTGTCTTGAAAAAAAAATTATTTTTAAAGTACCAGCATGTGACATACACTCTACTATGTTCTTTGCCCATTTGTCTTTTTACTGCTGGAGATCAAACCCAGGGCTCCTTGAAAGCTGAGTAGAAACTTGGTCCCTCTATCCCCAGATTCAAGACCCTGCCCACCACCACTTTATTGGAAGACATTAGATAACTCCTTAATCTCAATTTCTGTTTCCTAGACTTTAAAATTACGATGTTACTTATTTCATGGTATGATTGTAAAAATTACATGGGGTCATCTTTGCAAAAAGTCCTGGGTTCCTTGACATTTAATTAATGACAGCTTTTAAAATTCAGTTCGATACAGTCAGATGTAATGGGCCAAAGCAGAAACTGCTGGTGCTTACTAATTAAGAAAATAGATTTTATGTCTCTTTGACTTTGATAGCTAGTGGTTTGGGGAAGGGACTTCTGTTCTCAACTCCTGTTCTCAAACTAGTGTTCTCTGGGATGTGATTAGAGTAGTGTGCACACCTAGCATCTCAGCGACGCTGGGGGTTCTAGAAACTCTCCTGGCTTACTAACCAGTGTTTCTGAGCTGCCCTGGCTTCCTGGGGTTACCAGAGTACACAAAAGCCACTAACGACCCTGAGATATCATGACTGGCCTTCCAATCCCGTGTTAAGCCCTTGGCTTTGTTTGTTGAGGGAGGAGAGAAATCAGTTTCTCCAACGCCCTCTCTGATCCCCAAAAGACCTGGGTAAAAAAGAGCTCCCCTGCGTGCCTTCTGCACTTCTGGCTACTGCGCCCAGCCACGTGTCCCCAGGCCAGGTGCTTCTGCCCTTACCTTGCCCCGGGTCGGTTGGAAGTCCCAGTATCCAAAGGCACACCGACGAAAGCCGCGTCAAGCCCCTCCGGAGAGGACTGCAGGGGCAGGTACATCATGGAACAGTTGCCCACCAGCTGTACCAGTGACTGAGAGGTGGGGGACTGGTGATGTGTGGTATCTGAGGCATCTGAAGCCTGGCGGATCCCGGGGCGCCCAGGACAGAAGAGTCCCGCAGGGGAACGCCATGTGGCCACCCCAGACCCTGCGCCTCGGGCCCAGCTGGACCTCAGCAGTCGCAGCATGCCGCCTATTGAGGAGCCCAACTAGGCCAGCGTGCCAGCCCCCAGTTGCAGGGTTCAAAGGGCAGGGACACCCTGGGATCAAAGAGGCTGGGAGGGCCCCAAAGCCCAAGCGTTTCTCCACCTGCCCAGCTCTGGACTTCAGCCCCTGGATGGTCAACGAGCTAGGTCGGGGATCCCCATTCATGCCCACCTACCGAGGCCCAGGTTTGTCCCCCCCAACACCTGGCCTATTCAGAGAAATTTTATTTTGCTTTGTTTGTGGTTGTTGTGTTGTTTTGTTAACAAAAGCCCAGGCTGATACGCAACTTGTAGAGCCCAGGTTGGCTTTCAGTGCTTATAACAGGCTCAACAAAAGGAACATTGTGTTGTTGTTTGTTTTTTGCTGTTTTAAGCAGCATAGGCTGGCCTCCAGCTTATCCTGTACCTGAGGATGACTTTGAACTCCTGAGTCTCCTGTCTCTACCTCTCAAATCCTGAGATTAGAACAATCCTAGATTTTATATTTTATACATATGATTATATATATACATATATATACATATATATATATATGAATGAAATGTCTTGAGGTCTTCTTGAGAGATGGCTCAGAAGGAAAGAGCCGCGCTGCTCTTGCAGAGCACCCAGGTTTGGTTCTTGCCTTCCACATCATCAGGAGACTGACTCGATACTCCAGGAGGATCCTGTAACTCCAGGTTCCACCAGCTCCTCCCGGGGCCCTAAGGCAGCCACACACACTTGTACACAGACACAAGAACAAATACATAAATAAAAGATGAGAAGAAAAGAGAAAAGAAATGTTTGGGGTTGGGATTCTCAGGAAACAGAAGTCTTTTTTGTTAATATTCTTTCTAAACTCCACCTCCACAGTTACCTGGCAACAGCCAGGTAGGCATGCCCACTATAAAAGGGGCTGCTTGCCTCTTCCTCTCTCTCTTACTCTCTTACTCTCTTGCCTCTAGCTTCTCTCTGTTCCTCGCCCTTCCTCCCTTCTCTTCCCCCTCTCTCCACATGGTCATGGCCAGCCTCTACTTCTCTTTCTCTGCCATCTTCTTCTGTTTCTCTCCCCCCACCTTTGCCCTCTGCCCTGAATAAACCCCCTCCCACCTTTGAAACCGTTTGGTCTGGTGTTGTCTGTTCTAAGCTGCACGCCGAAGTCTAACACTTTTTTTTTTTTTAATTGAGACAGGGTGCCCCGCCTATGTAGACTAGGTTGGCCTCAGAATCATAGAGATCCACCTGCCTCAGCACAGAATAAAGGCATTTGACAACAGGCTCAGCATAACTTTTTTTCTTAAAGGATAGCCAGGGGTAGAATATTTGCATCATATCTGCAAAGACCTTTCATTGGTACTCTGAGTAAAGAGAATATAAAATAATATAAAATATAAATGCATTACAGCTGGGCATTATGGTGTCAGCTTTTAATCCAGGCACTCAGAAGGTAGAGGGGGAAGGGGTCTCGGTGAGTTTGAAGTCAGCCTGGTTTATACCGGAAACACTAGCTCCATTACATAGCAGTGTCCTGGTTTTTGCTGTTGTTATTGTTGCTGTTGTTTTGTTTGATTAAGGTTGGATGGCTTGATTTTTCAGGACATGGTTTCTCTGTGTGGCCCTGGCTGTTGTGGAACTCGCTCTGTAGACTAAGCTGTCCTAGAACTCAGGGATCTACCTGACTCTGCCTCCCTAGTGCTGGGATTAAAGGTATGCGCCATCACCGCCTGTTGAGACATCCTGGTTGGTTTTTTTGTTGATACATTGTTGTTGTTGTTTTTAATTTTGTAATGCTTTACAAAGAATTTAATATTGAGCTATAGAGAAAGGCACAGCACCAGTAAGCCTGCTAAGGAGCTGACCTCTCCTTAATTCTAAGGAAAAAAAAAAATCACTCAGGGATTGGGGGCGTAAGATGGCTCAGTTGGTAAAGGCATCAGCTGACAAACTGAGCAAACAGAGTTCAATCCAGAAGAGAGCTGACTCTTAAAAGTTGTCCTCTGACCTCCACAGGAGCATGTGCACACATACACAAAATAAATGTGGAAAAAAAAGAAAAAACAACCAAAAAACCACAAATAGGTGTGACGTGTGTATTTTGTTTGAGTGAATCAAAAAGAACTGGGTGAGACAGGTGGTGGTGGCTCACACCTTTAATCCCAGCAGAGGCAGGTGGAGCTCTGTGAGTTCGAAGACAGCCTGGTTTACAGAGTGAGTTCCTGGACAGCCAAGGCTAGAAAGAGAACCCCTGACTTGCCTTGATGTCACACATGAAGCTCCACAGCCCTCATTCTAGGATGGACAAGGGAAAACAGGACAGAGTTCTCTGAAGCCAGTAATGGGTGTTGAGTGTTAGAGGAGGCGTCAGGACACGGTTGTCTATTTTCCAGAACAAATGAAATAACCTGTTCCTCTCAATGCCGTTTTTGTTTTGTTTTGTTTTTTTCGAGACAGGGTTTCTTTGTGTAGTCCTGGCTGTCCTGGAGCTCACCCTGTAGACCAGGCTGGCCTCAAACTCAGAAATCCACCTGCCTCTACCTCCCAAGTGCTGGGATTAAAGGCCCAGCTCAATGCCGGTTCTAATGTGGTTTCTTTCCCCTCACTTGTCCTTGAACACTTGTTTTCTCAAGGCCGGTTTTCTTTTCTCTCCTCTCATAAATATTCATGGCACCCACTGTGCATCCTGCACTCCGTGCCTGTGACTGGGGAAACCTTCCCTCCTCATGCCCAAAGCGTGGCCTTCCAGATGGACGTTCTGGTGTTTCCCCACCTCCCTGCTTTCCTCAAGACCATCTTTTTTTCATATTGAAGTGATGGTTTTCTTCTGCAGTCAGAGGACTCCTCATTCAGGGAAGCTTCTACAGTCTGATGTCCCGCCCTGTCATCCCCACAAGGAGGCACCAGCTCAGCTCTGAAACATCTGCTAACATCACCTCAGAGCCCAAGTGAAAGTGAAAAGCAGAGCTGGGTGTAGTGGTGCACACCTGTAACCCCGGGTGTGGTGGTGCACATCTGTAACTCCAGCACTCAGGAGGCAGAGCTAGTAGATCTCTGACTTTGAGGCCAGTCTGGTCTACAAAGAGAGTTCCAAGGCAGCCAGGGCTTGAAGAAAGAAAGAAAGAGAGAGAGAGAGAGAGAGAGAGAGAGAGAGAGAGAGAGAGAGAGAGAGAGGTAGATTAGGTTAGGTAGATAAAGGGTCTAGTAGGTTAGGTAGATAAAGGGTCTAGCGAGATGGCTCAGTAGTTAAAAGCACTGGCTATTCTTTCATAAGATCCAGGTTCACTTCCTAGCAGGGTAGCTCACAACCATCTGTAACTTTAGCTCCAGGTATCTGAGACCCTCTTCTGGCCTCCACCAGCACCAAGAATGTGAGAAGTGCACACACATGCATGCAGGCAAAACCATATACATAAAAATAAACCTTAAAAAGCCTACCTCAAAATGCTTCTGGTCAACATTTAAATATATATATATATCTTATAAAAAACAAAATACCCAGCCCAGGGCCCAACTGGAACAGTGGGTCCAGAGGACACAGAAGAATGAGCCTGTAGTTGGAAGGTAGCTGGTGAGGAACAGGCACCCATGCTGGCTGGGGTGTCTGGGCAGAGCAGCCCAGGCAGCCAATCATCGTCTGTGTTCCCTGTGTCTGGCCATGTCCAGCTGGACAGCCATTTTGAACAGAGTTCAAGCTAACTGTGGGCGAATGTCTCAGAAACACAAGGGCAGGGTGATGTCACACATACCTAATGTCTGAGGTACAGAGACACTGGCCGGGACAATGACCAAGCACACAGCTGCCTGGAAGGAAAGTGTGTTCCAATCAGAGCTTGGAAATACTTTTTCTTCAAATCTATGACTTTTCTCCTCCACTGTCCCTCAAGTTTACTTCAGTGGAATGTTCAATAGAAGAAACTGAGTTTCCCATCCCCCAGTGCTGGGGATGGAAAGCCAGAGGTCTTCCAATGAACTACTCTGTTTCCTTTACGCAACAGGACAGGGGAAGGCCTTGACCTTGCAAACTCTGGGCTCCAATACAGACTTCGTTCTCTTGGCTAGCCCAAGGGCTGCTTTGAACCTTGTACAAATCAGGTAAATGCTTTGTGAGTGAGTAAATGATTGACAGGATCTGAGGCTGTGCAGACCCGTTCTACGGGTGATGACGGCTTTAGAAAAACAAACACATACCAGTGCCAGTGGGCGCCAGAGTGAGGAAATGCCTGTGTGGATATCTCTGACCTGTTCCATGAGGCAGGGCTTCTGTAGGCGTCGCACTTTGAACTTGTCTCTGCCTGCAGAAGTGCAGGCATGACCGAGTGGCAAGGCCAGCTCAGTGTACGGCTCAGGATACCTCATTGTTATCAACAACACCTCTGTGGCTTTGGCCCTCTTGTTTCCTTTAAGCTTTGTTTTTTTCTGCTTAGCCCAGGCTGGCCTCCAACTATTAATCCTCCTGCATCCATTTTCTCAGTGCTACAACTACAGGCACACAGCACCAAGCTGGGGTAGCACCTTTTTTGCTTGCTTGTTTTGTTTTCTGAGACAAGGTTTCCCTTTGTAGTCCTGGCTGTCCTGGAACTAGTTCTTTAGACCAGGTTGGGACCTGCTCCTGCCTCACAAATGCTGGGATTAAAGGCATGCACCTCCACACCCAGCTATGTGTGTATCTGAGGTTCATGGAGACCAGAAGAGGGTGTCAGATGTCCTGGAGCTGAAGTTCCAGATGGTTGTAAGCATCATATGGGTCCTGAGAATGGAACCTGGGTCCTCTGGAAGTGCTCTTACCTCTGAGAGGTCTCTCCAGCCTCCATAACTTTTGTAAAGCCATGCTTAAGAGTATTAGTCCTCTTTCTGCTGCTATAACAAAATACCTGAAGCTAGTTAGTCGCTTTGAGATGCAAATCGGTTAGCAGAGTACTGGTCTTAACACAAATGGAGCCCTGGGGTTGGTTCCCAGCATGGGAATCTGAAGTTCGAGGTTCTCCTGGGCTACAGAATGAGTTTGAGGGGGTAGCCTGGGATACATGAGACCCCAAGAGAGAGGAGAAGGAGGAATCCAGTCAGGAAGAGGAATCCAGTTTTGGAGTCTGAAGGTCCAAAATTGAAAAACACTATCAGGTCAGACCCTTAAAGAAGGCTT